TAAGCTTGAATCCCTTATTAACCTTACAAGGGAGACAGACTACCAAGAAAGGTTCAATGGAGTATCTGAGGCCACAAAGCTAGTAAGTGGCAGGGCCAGAGTGTGAACCAAGGCCATCTGGAGCCACAGCATGTTTTCTTACACTATGCATAATATGTGACCATAACTTAGCTCACTTCTAAAATGGCTTTAAGAATAGTGGGTCTGTCCTGAGCAAACATACCAACCGAAGTATATAAAAAAAATCTTGTTTTTGGAATATTTTTAATTTGTACAAGTCCAACTTTTTTTTCCCCTTTTCTTGAAATAGCATCTTGCTTCACAGCTCAGGCTGGTCTTGAATTCACTATATAGCTGAGGCTGGCTTCAAACTTTCCTCCTGCCTCTGCCTCTTGAGGGCTGGGGTTACGGGTATATATCACCACCAAGCCAACTTCTTCTTCTATTTTTTTTTTTTTTTTTGGTGGGACTGAGGTTCGAACTCAGGATTTTGTGTTTGCAAAGCAGGTGTCTACTGCTTGAGCCACTCCTCCAGTCCACTTTGTAGATGAGGTCTATAGGCACGAGCACTGGTGCCTGGCGAGGTAGCTATCAGAGAATACCACATGGCTCTTAGTTGAGATCGCTACTTAAATTTTTTTTTCTATAAAAAGGATAAATTGCTGTTTAGAAATTACTTCTATTTTATAAGACTAGTTATAATATTCCATTGATTCATACCATTGTCTTCCTTTACCCTTTTGTAAATGCTGGCAATGGCTTCTTTCATTAACAGTGGTTTTGACTCACAGAGTACAAGAACTGGAAGTATCTTACAAATCCTTTGAGATGAGGCTCATAAAGGTCACACAACTAAATTAAGACTGTGTTCATGCTTAGAAGTAGAGTTAAGAACTAAACACTAGATTTCAGAACTTTATCCACCAATCCTCACAGCATCTTTTTTCTAATGTAAAAAATTTGGGCCTAATTTTAAAACAAAAGTAATCTGAAATACAATGTATTGTAGGATACTGTGCAGTAGTTAAAAAGGAACAGGTGAATTTATATGCAGAATAATGTGAATTAATGTGAAATAATCTCTATAATATGTTGCTAAAAAGTAAAGGAAAAATGCTATCATTTGTGTTTTTTACAGAGGGAATATGAACATGAATGTGTGTGTGCGTGTGTGTGTGCGCGCGCATGTGCGCACGCGCCTGCATGTATAATCACAATTAATCACATATGCATACAATGTATAGATGACCCTATGAAAGATATGAGAGGAACTAGGAACAGCTGTTGTCTCTGGGAGGGGAAACAAGAAAGAAGAATTAGTTTCCACTATAGACACTTCTATTGTTGTTAAATTTTTTTTTTTGGAAGTACTAGGGTTTGAACTTAGGGCCTCCTGCTTGCTAGGCAGGTGCTCTATTACTTGAACTATGCCCCCATCCTGCACTTCTGTTATCTGAAAAAAAATTTTTTTACATGTGTAAGTGTTAACATATCTAAAAAATTTACCTTGATGCTAATAAATAACACTTTATCTTATTGGTATAAGAAGCCAATATTTTGCCTATATGTGAATAGTTGTATATGTGAATAGCAAAAGTTGCTGTATATGAATAGCTCCCCAAGGATGTTTAAGGGAGTCTTTAAAGAATGAAAGGAATCATAGGAAGAGAGGGAACAGTTACGCACGTCTATCAGGTAAAAACTTCAGGTAATTACGTTATAAAGGATGTTCTTATGACTTTCTGTTTGGTACACTGTGGCATGCGCTGTGAGTGGCTGAGATTTCAAGTGTCACAAGAAGCATTACACTAAGAGATGCTCTCACTAGATAATCTTTGTGCCTGTCAACTTGCCTGTATTTCTTGCTTGCTTTTTCTTCTTAGAAAGTCATGCATACTCACTTTAGAAACTCTGGAAAGTATAAGCTCATACCAAGAGAAAGGAGAACAAATTACCCACAATCTTGTCAACCAGAAACACCCACTATTGATTAGCATTTTCCTTATATACATTTTATTTGCTTATTTTTTAAACATAATTGGGATTAGTTTATATATGCTATTTTGTATTCTTGTCTTTCCCCTTTAACATTACATCCAAGTTAAAATATCTCACTACCAAACTTTTGCTAAACACAACTATTTATTTATTTATTTATTTGCATTACTGGGGTTTGAACTTCCAATCTTGCGCTTGCTAGGCAGGTGTTCTACCACTTCAGCTATGCCTCCAGCCCTAAACACACCTTTAATGCCAAGTAACACTGTACATGCATTGAAACAGTTCTTCTTTTTTTAATTTGTTATTGTGGCAAATTGTATGGACTGGTTCTATTTAATATTAAACCAACTCTCCACTCCTAGAATAAATCCAACTTGGCAATGTTATATTGCTGCTCTGATAAAATGCTGGACTCAGTTTGTTAATGTTTTATTTAGGATTTCTGCATCTGTATTTATAAGATTGGTCTGAAAATTTTCTGCCTTGTATGATTTTTTTCTAGGGTTTGGTACCAAGATTATGAGAGCCTTTTCAAATGAATTACAGCACGTAACCTCTTTTTTCTATTCTCTAGAACAGCTGATGTAAGATTTGGGGTTATATATATATCTTAAATTTTAAGTTTTTGGTAGAACCAGCTAGTAAAGTTATCTGGGCTTTTTTTTTTGTTGTTGGGGGGAATGTTTAATCAGTTTTTCAAAAATAGTTATGGGAACATTTAGGTTTTGTTTCCTTTTGTGTCAATGTTGATAAGTTATCTTTTCCCAAGATCTTTTTCTTTTCATCAACATTTCCAAAATTTTTGGAATGGGGTTTATCAAAATAATCATGTGCTATCTAATGAGTATAGGATCTGCAGTGTATTTTTCATTCCTATTACTATTTGCATTCTGTTATTTCTCTTTCTTGTTTTTGACCTACTTAGAAAGAGGTTTATTGATTTTATTAGTCTTTTTCAAAGAACCAACGCTTCTTTTTGATGTTCCTGAATTTTCTATTTTTTTGATTTCCACTTTTATCTTTATTGTTTCCTTCTTTTTATTCTCTTGGGTTTCCTTTACTGTTTTCCTAATTTTTTGATCCAAATGCTTAGCTCATTACTTTTCTGATTTTCTTCTTTTGTAATACATAAATTTCAAGTCTGTGAAATTTCCTTAATACTGCTTTAGCCATATCCCCAAATTTAATATGTAGAATTTTTATTATCTTTCCATCAAAATGTTTTTGAGGGCTGAAAGTGTTACTCAAGTGGTAGAGTGCCTACCTGACAAGTGGGAAGCCCCGAGTTCAAACCCCAATGCCACCAAAAATGAAAAAAAAAAAAGGAATTATGAAAATATTGTCTCACTTCCACTATTACTCCTTTCTAAAAACACTGGTCCAGAAACTTATTTCTCAATTTCCAAATATACAATATTTTCCGATCTTTAGCCTAATTTCACTGTGATCAGATAGTATATCCTGTATGAAACTCTATATTTGTTTTCCAGAATAGGGATAAGTTATATTCTTAGAACATAAGAATAAGTTATAGTCTTCCAATATAAGATACTAGAAACATACTGTGAAAACTATCATTACACATAAATCTTTGGTGCATTTTAGATTTTCTTCTCATGACCGATTTCCAAAAGCAGAAATATTGGGTAGGACATTTTTAGGCCTCCTGATATGTACAGCTGTGTTATACTGCTACACTGCTGTCACCGGAGTTCGAATATGCTGTTGCCCTGTATTCTCCTCATCCATGAGGACTCTTTTTGAAATACCTGGCTTACCTGATAGGTGGAAAGTACTGCATTCTGCTTTAAAATGCTTACATTAGATTGTTAATAGGGAGGAGCATTTTTACAAATGTTTACTACTTATTTTGGTTGTGGATGGTGAAGACACCAACTTCAACCTTTGAGAATATGCTGAATGCCAAAGAGCACATTTCACCTTCGAGGTAAATTGTGTGCATGCTGCTTCAGAAGAGGAGCCCTGGTTGAAGAGCAATAGACTGTTTGGTTTAGAGGGTCAGTGGCATGACTGAAGATCTACCATCTATTCACTCATTCCCTTTACTGAGTTCTTACAGTATGTGATCTTTGGCAGACTGCTGAGTTAACGAAGGACAACCTGGCCTGGGTCAGGAACACCCTTACAGAGGTGACAATCTAGTGGGGGAGGCAGACATCAATCAATCACTGAGAAAGATACATATTATACTAGAAACATATGCAATGACCTATAGCAGTATAATGAGGGACCCAGAAGAGGATCAGGTTTAGGGGATTGGGTGAAAGAGGTCATAGGTGACAGCTCTGAAGATGTGACATTTAAACAGAGACGAAGGATGAGAAAGATTTAACCAGAATGGGTGAAAGGGTGTTTCAGGAGGAAGAAACAGCCTGTGTGAAAGCCTTGCAGTAGGAACAACCACCTGCAGCCTATTGCCACAATCACAATTTTCATATACCACTTGCTCCTTAAGTAGGTGGGAGTACAGAGCAGAGGGAAGGAAAAAAAAATCACGATTTGGAAATTCTGAAGAGAAGATGAAAGGACTCACTGAAGTTTTAAGGATGTTCTTAAAGTGGCACTAGGAATCACTACATTGCCTCCTGCTTAAGAGTATTCAAATGGTTAACATTTTCTAAAACTTGATGCCTGAACAGCGATACTGACAGGGCCAGTTGCTTTATGTACAAAAGAAATTTGTCTTAGAAAAGGCCTCACACTTCTGTTTCCAGAGCTGTTCCAAATTTAGGAAGATATAGTTCAACAGAAGAGTATTAATCATGGAGTGCTAAACAGGATGTGGACTCTACCAAACAGCATGGAATCTATCATTTCACTTTGGGACACACTTCTGGCATGAAGACTGCGGTCTGCCTTAGAAAACAGTAACTTCCAATCTGCCTAGGGGAGCCAGGTCAGCAAATGTTCCCATACACATGACTCCTAAGCAGGTTTGCAATGGACAAAGCAGGCACGGAGCGAGGTGGCCAACGTACTGTTCTCGCGGACCAGGCAGAACTCCCATGCGCTCTGGCTCTCCAACGTGCTCTCCAGGTCCACGGCGACATTGGGTTCGCTCTGCTTCTCCAGGCGGTATTGAGGGCCTGGAAGATCAAAGGGGCAGGAGGAGGGGAGGAAGTCTGAAACAGTGAATTTAACATTTAGAAATTACCACATATTGGGCAAAAACTGGGGAGAGCCATAGGGAAATGTTAACGTCTGACTTGAGGGTCAAGCTATCTAAGATGGAAGAGTTTGGGGCTTTTTTGACAAGGTTTCCCATCCTGTCTGTCCCCACTCAGTTCTCGCCACATGCTAGGTAAGAGACAAATGGCTTTGAGTCAGACAGAACTAGGGTCATGTGTGGCTCCCCTGCTTCTCAGATGTGAACAGGTAACCTATCTATCCTCTTTAACCTCTATTTCCAAATACGCGATACTGGATCCTATACCTGAAGACTGTATACATGAGAGATGACATGGGAAAAACACTTAGGAATATACCTGCCTTGCAGGAGGCACTCCTACAAAGGTACTTGTGGTTAAGAATTACTACTGTATAATAATAAATTATAATCGGAAATAAGGTATGTTTGGAACTCTAATTGATAACAGTTCAAAAAGTAAAAAAAAAATTATACACATGAACTTTAAAAAATGAATTTTGTGTTTCCAGGTTACAGTAATGGAAAACAATGGCTGTTGGTTCAAGTTTTTGTCAAAGCATTTATGAAAACACAAGAGACACAGGTTCAGTAACAATGGAAACTAGGAATTGTAGCTCTATGTATCACATGCAGAGTTCTGGCAGATGTTAATAAGACACTGGGGCATTTCATACATTTGTCAACCCAAATGACAATGTTGTTCTTCTGAGATAACACCTAACAGGTCCAATGGTCAGAATCAAGATTGCTCCTGTGATTTGCTAATGGTTATTGAAAAGATGAGAGGCGTAAGAAATGGTCTTATCATTTTGACTCTGAAAAGTATGTTTGGTCAGACAGAAGGAGGTGTGAGAGAGCTGAGGAAAGAAACAGAGGCTGTATCACGTATTTTTTAGACGTGTTCTTCAGCTATTATCAACTTGTTGCTTATTCTTCTCCTTCATCGGTCTGCAGCATTTCAGTCGTCTCCAGGGTTCTACTCCCAGTCCTACTCTCATCTGGAGCACTTAGAGATTCATTTCACATTCATGGTTTATTTGAGCTTTTCTCCCAATGGCGTTTGTTTTATCAGCACTTTTGCCTGAGCTCCTCTCACAGTTCTTCTATACATTCAGTTCTTTTCACACTCCTTGAGCAAATACATGTTCAGAAGTCTGTACAATTTTTAAAAATTTTAATGCACTGTATCAAGAAGGTACTATGCTTCAACATCATACACAGTAAAAAAGCATGAACTGTTTGCCACTAACCATCAGATGCTGGTACATTCACTGCTGGTGCAATCACAGAAAAATTATGCTCAGTTGAACTTTTAAGAAAACTCAGACTGGAGGAGTGGCTCAAGCACTAGAGCATTTGCTTTGCAAGCACCAAGCCCCAAGTTCAAACCCCAGTCCTACCAAAGAGAAAAAGAAAAAGAAAAAAGACAACTCACTGGTGGACTCTGCAGCCCATTAGTGGTACAGGGGTCACCCCTGAAGTTGGAAAGCTGCTTGCTAAGCTGCTGGTCAACTCTGAGTGCCTACATCTCCAATACCTCCAGCAACACAACGGGCATGAGGCACATTCATTACAGTGAATCTGGGTACAAAGTGTAGGTTATAATACCATCAGCCTTCTGTATCTACATCTGTGGACTCAACCAACTGTGAATTTAAAATGTTTGGTAAAATTGTGCCGATACTGAATACACACAGACTCTCTGTCATTCTTCCCCAACTGTAGTATAACTATGCACATAGCATGAACACTGTAGGAGTATGATAAATATTCTAGAGATGGTTTGAAGTCTATGGGAGAATGTGTATAGGTTTTATGCAAACAATGTACTGTTTTATAAAAGGATCTTGAACATCTACAGATTTTGATATACCTGGGGGGTCCTGGAACCCATCCCTCACAGATACTGAGGGACAATAGTATTTCATTTTTTAAATGATAGTCAAAATTTGGGAATAACCTACATCTAGTAACAGGGGGACTAACTAAATAAAATATTGTGGAATATCATGAAGTTATTAAAAGTTATCCTACAAAAATATTTAATGTTATAAAACATTAACATGTTATTTTATGAAAAAAAATGTAACAAACTTGCAGGATGATTACAATTCTAAAAATACATGTAAAAGCACAGTGGACAAACAGTAAGGTAGTTATTTTTAAAATATGGATAGTAGTTATATTACAATAGTGGGATTCTAAGTGCTTTTATTTTTCTTTTGTGTTTTTCTATATTTTAAAAATTTCCCAATAATAATAGCTACTTTTATAATTTTAAAAATATTGTATGTACTTAAAAGTTTTCCAGTTTCTTATCACATCATTTTTCTGAGAATACTGTAATTATCACACATGTAGCATCCCCAACAGTCTTTCACATGCAATAGTTTAATCAAAATGAGGCATGATGTGTTTACGCAGACAAATTCATCTTAAGAACTGTACCCTGGCATAGGCACTCAGAGAGCAGTACACAGTGTGTCTGGCTTCTAAAGCTGCTAGCCTACCTGACAGCTGGATCATATTTCAAGCCCCCCTTTCCTGACCACTGGGAACCACCGCCTGGCTGCAGCATAGAGAATTTCAGCCTTATTTCCTTTGCACATTTTTTCCTTTCCAGTCTCTGTAGCTGTCTGGGAAAGGTGGAACAGGGAAACCAGGGAAGTGAGGCAGTACTAGCAAGGGCTCCTTATTGCTAAACACAATCCCCTACCCCACTCTGAAAGTCCTCACTACCATCATTTTGGCACTTGCTTTCTTGTTTCTTGGATCTTGAATATATTTCTGTTAAAATCAGCTTGTTTTCTGAATGTAGTTTTTCAGACTTTCTCCTTGACTCCTAGTATGGCTTTCATTTCTACAACATGCTCATTAGGTGCCAAGTACACTCTATATGTTACTTCACTGAATCCTCACAACAACCCTGAGAGGCATATTTTACTACTCCCATTTCACAGATGGGAACCCTGATGAAGTAATTTGCCCAAGATTACAAAGGTAGGTAGTAGGGGGAAATAAAACCCAAGGGTCTTTTGGCTCTAAGGCTTATGTGCTTAGAACCTTTCTTCCCCCTATAAACTATAAATTACTGACCAGTTATAAAGAGGCCATAGTTTATTCTATAAATATAGATTTTTATAGATTTGTGGATTCATCTTGGCTCTGAATCACTTAATTTGTGGTTTCTACAAATTCAAAATGAAAATGATCTGAAATAATTTATTTTAATGAACTCTCCACATACCAAACATCCCATGCTATGACTGTGTTCTGGGACTGTGGTAGTAGAAAGTCTTCTTATGAAGACATAATCACTTATCTTTCTACCTATCCAGGAAGACTTTCCCATCTTTCCTTAAGAATATTCCTGCTGGGCCCAGTGGCATACCACTATAATTCCAGCTACTCAGGAGGCAAGACTGGGAGGATCATGGTTCAAGGCCAGCTTCAGGAAAAAGTTAGTGAGACCTCAACTCAATAAATAAGTTGGCTGTGGTGTTACATACCTGTCATCCCAGCTATGCAGGAGGAGTAAATGGGAGGAACACAGTTAAGACCAGCCTGGGCAAAAATGTAAGAACTTATTTGAAAAATACCTAAAGCAAAAAGGGTTGGGGATTTGGCTCAAGTGGTAGAGTGCTTGCCTAGCAAGCTTGAAACCCTAAGTTCGAACTTCAATACTGACCAAAAAAAAAAAAAAGTATTTGTAGCTCAGTTTTGTCAGTAACTAAAATTCTGAATGTTGCCTTCTAATTTGGATACTAAAAAACAACTTTGAAATCCACTTCTAAACTTGGTGCAAAACTCAGGGGTTTGACTTTGGGGAAGGTAGGGCTGCTAAGCTGAAGATATGCCAAGAAAACTGAGTCAAATCTGCATTTGTCTCCTTAATTCTTGCCTGAATACTAGATAAGCAATCTTGTAGAGAAAGAACATTTCATGTGTTTTCCTAGAAAAAAGCCAGATGAAGAATTTCAGGCCAAGGGCTGGAGATATGGCTCAGTGGTAGAGTACTTGCCTGGCACACACAGGGCCCTGAGTTCAACTCCCAGCACCACCAAAAAAAAAGAAAAGAAAAGAATTTCAGGCCACATGTGAGAGGTGAGATAGCCAATGAATGGCCCCAAATGCCCTCAGCTAGGGCGTGGCAGAACAAGTTAGCTCTATGACATTGGCCAAGTTATTTAATCTCTGTCGACAGTTTCTTCATCTATAAAATGGGGATAATAACAGCATCTACTTCAGAGGACTATCTGAGGAGCCCATGAGCGGGTTGTAAGACAGTACAGTGTCTGTCCTCATCATGGCACTGTAGCAGGACTAAGAGATCATAATCCCGATCATCTGCCACCAGCCCAGGGCCTCCTGTGTGCCAGGGACTAGGCTAGGTCTTTCCTATAGATCATCTCGTTCACTGAGGACATAAAAAGTATGAATTCTATTTAACAGAGGAAGGAACTGTGACTTATGGAGGCTCAATAACTTGCCCAATGTCCTTCAGGGAGTGGAACTAGGATTCATACCAGAGATGCCCAGGCCTGTACTCTCTAATAATATGAACCACAGTGCCTCACTCGTTCCATGTTCTTAATAAATGTCTGTTGATGAAAAGACATTTTCATCAAGACCCACTATATATCAATATATCTCCCTCAACTGCTTGTTTAATTTTTAGGCAGTGACATGAAAGGGAAGAAAACAATAGTAACCAAAAGCCATTTCAAAAAGACAAGCTGTGAGGTCAGTTTCTTTGAATGTACTTTTGCCAAAAAAATTATTACATAAAATATAAAAGTCTCTTAGGATGTAGTTCTCAAGGCAACATCCACCCTTTGGAAAAAAGGTTTTAAAATGTCAAAGCTACATGAAGCCACATGACCTCTACTTCACAGCAGAGAGGAACACAAAAGGAATATTCTGGGAAGCAGCTACTCTGCAGCAAAAGAAATCCTGCTTGGGCATTCCAATGATGTATTTA